TACTAAGAGGCTGGCACAATATAATTATTATTCTCATACCACAGATACTTTGTGTTCGCCTGTTTTGAAAATAAATCATCCGAGGGGCCATCTCCACCCTCCACCCCTTGTCTTTCTAGGTTATAAATTATAAAGGGTGGAAAATTCCCCTGGGTCTGCCCCTTGTTTTTCCAGCTGGAGGATGATTGCAGGCAGGGAGGAGCCTCACTGAACCCCACGGCTGCTACACAGACACTCCTAGAAAGAGCCTTTGCTGATGAGTCACACAAAACAAGTTTGTCCTACGAGGTTTTCAGGGGCCTTTTTTCCCAATCCCCCTAGGATGAACAGGGGAATATGGTTTGTAACCACGGGAGTATGGTTTGTAAACAAAAGAAACTGTGTGTTACAATATAAATATGACACTGCAGTTAGATCAGTAGCACTACCTCACCCACCACTTTTTTTTTAAACAAAACTCAACATGCCAAAAGGATGCAAGATCTCGAAATCACTTTACATAACACACAGAGTCTTGGGAGCCAAAAAATTTATTTCTAAACGAAAGATGTATATGCAACCAGGAAATGTTTGTAAATATCACTGAGTGTTCCCACAACAAACATCTTGTTAAGGCATTGGTTAGGGGGAATCAAACATATCCAAAATACTCCCAATCACTCATTTAAATGGCCCAAGATGCAATGTTCAAGCACACTGTCAGACTTTTCAAAGAAGCAGGTGCTCAAAACTCTAGAATTCTATAAACACAGGTATGATTTGCCTCAGAGCAGGGATGTATTCTAAATAATTACCAACAAATTTCTTGCACTGTAATTCTTCCCTGTATTGCCCAGTTAATGTGGCATATCTAACTTGTATCACATATTAGATGGGAATGACAACCCCCAAATCTGTGAAATCTAAGATGAGAAAGCATGGCATTTTAATCAATGGTTCTGCTGCAGACTGTAACACAACAAACTCCAGTGAGCACACTCTTTCCCAAAATACCCAGGGAGGAAATAAGGAAACACAGGAAAGCCTATGTAATAACCAATTATCCAGAAAAGGAAGTGAAGTATTCCACATCTGTGAAATTTTGTTTATATAATTAACTCCTTGCAACCTGCTAAATCTTATTAAAGTGGAATAACTCATAATTAGAATAATAAAAGGGTGCACATACACATAAACTCGTGCACGTGTACACCCTGACTTTGGTCCACACAGAATTTAATAGTATTAAAAATATGAAAACCTGACATTCCTACTTAAATTAAAATTTGGGAGAAGACTGGAGTATTTCTGTCACTTACTGACGGTGACCAAATTTTTCCTGTATCATGCTTAGATAAACTTGGATGGCTCTCAGGCACCAGCACCAACAGCAATTCGTCAAAGAAGTCTTCATGCCCTCCCTCCCAAGTCAGCAGCTCAGCCCTTCCCAGCTACAAAGACCCAGGGTGCACTAGGCTTCCTTTCATTACATCTCTTGAACTGCAATTAAGTAATTAATTGTGTAAGGATAGAATTAGTTGTTTGATATCTGTCTTCTCCCACCAGTATGACCGCTTTGTGAAGAAAGTGCCTGTGTTCTGTGTCTGGAGTTAAGGAAACACTGAATAAACATATGTCAAATAAATAAATTAGTTACCGTTTCTTCTGCCTTCATGGAAAGCCATCACTGAGTAAGCCTGGAAGAATTAAGCTCCTTAATAAAGCTCTGCTAAAACAATTCAGATTTCATTCTGCTTCACCAGAGCCTACAACACTCTCTTAGGTGACCCCAGCTATCCTTTCTTCTTTGTCAGACATGTGGAAATCAATGAGAACATTCTCTAAACGCCACTCCACCCTGCCAGTTTTTTGTTTGTACATACCTACTGGTGAAAGTTTAATTCATTTGATATTAATTATTGATGCCCTTCCTAGGGCCCAGGAAACAATGTCTAACTACTAACTAAAGTGATTTTCAATAGGATATTTAAATTATAACATATCATAAAACAAAACTAAAATTTATGGCAACCCTGTGACGTTGTCATAATGTCATTGACATTTCAATCGCATTTGCTATTTAGTATTTCCTTTGGGGGGACATCGTGCAAATATTTTGCTCATTCATAATATTTGTTCCTTGTCAAGATGTTATCCTGTTATTCATCCATTGAATATGAAAAACATGAACCTCATTGTTTGTGCCAATGAATGTTTATGGGGGCTCTGTCAGTCGAGCCTCTGTGATTGCAAGGCACAGGAAGCCTCTTTTTTTTTTTTTTGAGTTGGTGTCTCACTCTGTCACCCAGACTGGAGT